CTGATTTTAATTCCTGTGTTGAATATATTAAAAATATAGACTTTTCATTTGTTTACACAAATTTGGATGCCAATGCCGCAGCTAAAAATTTTGTAAAGGTGCTTTCTACTGCTATCGAACTTTATTCCAAAAATAATATTGTCCCGTGTAGAAAGAGAATTCTGAAACCCTGGCTAACACCGGGATTGCTTCGTTGCATACGACACAGGGATAGATTACATTATAAATATAAAATGAATCCAGAAAATTGCATTCATGAGATTTCTTATAAACGTTACCGTAATCATTGTAACTCCTTACTTAGTAAAATGAAAAACATTTATGAGAAATCGTTGCTTACTAACGCAAAATCAAATAAAGAGAAGTGGAAAGCCATAAAATCTATTATTAATCATGGTTCTGTGAAAACTTCAGCGGCACCACTTCTTAGTAAGGATAATGAAATTGACGACATTACGGAGGTTAATCATTATTTTTCAAACATAGGTAAGTCCCTGGCGGATAACATAACTAAATCAAACGACAACTTAGAACCTAAAAATCATGACACTAGGTCAAATCTCAACTCCCTTGTTTTATTGCCACCCGACGAAGCCGAGATAGAATCTCTTATAAACGGACTTAAGAATAATAGTGCTACTGGCTGGGACTCCATCCCTGTTAAATTGTTGAAACAAGCTAAACATATCTTAGTGCCACATCTGACAAAGCTAATGGAACTTTGTTTTAACCAAGGTATTTTCCCGAAGGTATTTAAAAAGTCCATCATTACCCCTGTTTACAAGGATGGAGATCGACACTGTGTTAATAACTATCGACCTATCTCCGTATTAACAGCACTATCTAAAGTGATGGAAAAGGCCCTGAATAATCGTCTCATTAACTATTTAGAACGTTACAACATATTATCGTGCAATCAATTTGGTTTCAGATCTGGCAGGAGCACTGAGGATGCAGTTAGTCATCTCGTTGACTATGTTACATCACATTTAGATTCTAAACAAAAGTGTCTAGGTGTATTTCTTGACTTAGCCAAGGCTTTTGACACGGTGTCGATCCCCAAACTTGTGAAACAGCTATATCGTATTGGTATAAGAGATAACGCTCTAAATATTTTTTCCAATTTCCTTGAGGAGCGTACACAGCAAGTTAAAATTGGTGAGTATCTCAGTTCAGAGGTACCTGTTGTCTTTGGAGTCCCCCAAGGTAGCATTCTTGGCCCTAGTCTCTTCCTTGTATATATTAATGAGCTGTGTCAACTTTCATTAACAAACTGCAAAATTTTTTCCTATGCAGATGACACGGCATTGATATTTCACGGGGGGACTTGGGATGAGGTAAGTCATCTGGCTGAGGAGGGACTTCATAAGGTTGGATCCTGGCTTAGAGCAAACTTACTAACTCTAAATATTTCTAAAAGTAAATACTTACAATTCCATATGCATAATAGTCATCCAGATCATTTAAATCTAAAATTTCACTATTGTGACCTATCGAATGGTACTGATTGCTCGTGTCTCTCACTTGAAAAATCCAATCAAATTAGGTACCTAGGTGTGATACTTGATGAGAACATTAACTGGCAATGTCATATCAATCTTATAACTACTCGTCTCAGAAAACTCATCTGGGTCTTTAAGAGATTGCGTCACGTTGCAGATTTTACTCTCTTACGGAATTTATATTTTGCTCTGGCTCGATCGATTTTTACTTACTGCATTTGTGTTTGGGGCGGAGCTTGTAAAACATTTATAATAGATCTCGAAAGAGCTCAGAGGTCTATACTGAAGGTTATGACGTTTAGCCCGTTCAGATTTTCAACCAAGTTGCTGTATGAAAAGTGTGAAGTTCTTACCGTAAGACAAATATATATCCTCCAAACTCTTTTAAAACAACATCGTAATACCCCATACAATGCCAAAAAATATAGAAGTAAACGCACTATTGTCAGTGTATGTAATCTACCAAGATTTCGCACAGCATTTGCTAGGCGACAGTTTGTTTATTTATCTAAGTATCTTTACAATAAAATAAATAAAATAATTGATTTTTATCCATTACCTATTAAAGACGCAAAAACTAAAATAAGAAAATGGTTACTTACCCTTAACTATGATTATACCGAAACTTTGCTGTTAAACTAAGTTCCCTACTTTTTGACTTGCACGCAGATTTACTAAAACACACACATACATACATACACACACACACACCCACACAACAAACACACTCACAAACACACACATACACACACACACACAAGCACACACACACACACACACACACGCATACACATGCGCACTTATTTATTCTGATCGAATTCTGATTGATTTAATTATTTCAATAATGTATGTCTTATTGTAAAACTGTTTTGTTACATAAATAGTTATGATCTATGTATTCGGAAGTGGGCACTGACCCCTGTCACACAGGTCTTTATCCTATTATAGGGGTCAGGGACTACATTATAAACCAGTATTGTAATCAATTTATGTGACAATAAATAAATTATTATTATTATTATTATTAATAGTCTTCGTTAATTCTTCGGGATTTTCATCCTCAGTCTCTTTTATACCGCATACTTCAAGATGGTTCGATAATTGCTGTTGTTCTATCACATTGAGCTTTTGTTCGAGCGCGCTGTATTTTATATCCATATTTTTTATTGTTTTTCAGGTCATAGCATTGATTGTCAAATGTTTTCATCCGTTTCTCGTAATTTATAAGTTTTTTCTCATAGTCATCAATCTTATCGGAGTAGAATTGCAGCGTACGTTGAAGTTCCGTTTTAATGATGTTTTGTACTTCCACTCGTATTTGCTGTAGCATTTGTTGCGTCATGCTGGTGGTTGGGGATGTCGTCGTTTCTGAATCAGTGATATGTTCTACTTCATCTTCCGGTAAAATATATGATAACCGTTTTGGTTTCGTCCCTCCGGCACAGTTTTTGCATTTCCAGTCTACTGATTCGTTCGAAAACAGAGAGGAAATTGATCCGATGATATAAACACACACGGCGCATGAAACCACTTACAGCACTTAACACACTGCAATCCGGGTGATTTTTTGTTAACTATTTTAGAACATTTTGTACATTTAGCCATTTTATTAATTTACGAAAAAAATATATATTTAAAATGAGGGTAGATATACTGGATACTTCGACGTAGATGTATAGATTAGCGCAGCGTCCAGATCGTTCCGCTGTGCGCGAGCGAAATAGAGATTTTTTTCCGTCTTATGTGACACTTATTGTTATATTTTAGCCAATGCACTCAATAACTACATAAATTATTATGTATATGTTATTATCATATATGAGTTATATTACTGTTAAATTTCATTAAAATCCATTCAGTAGTTTTTAGGTGAAAGAGTAAAAAAGATTCATACGAACGTAAGATTGAAATTAGAAGCGCAAGTGGTTAATATACAACTTTAAAGCGTTGTAGATCCTAAACAATCATATAAAATGAAAAATGATGTTAGGAACTTAAACATTATTTTAGATTATCTAGATACCCCACTCGACATATTTTGTCAACTTATTTTTTTTACTTCGTCACAATATGGCGCCTAATTTTGCCAATATTGAATTTTGATTACTATTATATCTTTAGTAGCACTCCCATGTTTGAGACGAATCGATTGATGTATGAATCATTAAAATCGGTTCAGGCGTTTGGTTGGTCTTTAGTGTGCCACAAAGGAACAAACATACATATATAGCCTGTTAAACACTATACCCTGTCTGCGCGTCGCGCTTCGCGGTCTTGCATTGCGCAGTCGGGTAAAAAGGGTCGATAACAAAGTCTTTGACCTGTTATATGTGAACGCTTTAAAAGAAAACTACAAAGAGAACTATAAATTGATAATAAATGAGATTGCTATGGTGCTCTACTAGTTTAATCAAATATTATAAACTTTGCTTTGGTGATTGCATAATTATTTAATTTAGCGATCTAAGGCAGTTGCCACCATTGTCCAACATAACAGACGGGAATTACTACTTTCTTCAACCTGCGACATAAACGTCATTGTGGGTATTGTATATAGGGTGATTAACAACATTTGAAGTTAACTTCTGGCATCTACATATTGGGTTTCTGTGAATTATGTAGGTACTAGCTGACCCAGCGAACTTCGTACCGCCCTAAAAAAATAGGGGTTGTCCAGCGGACAAAATTGTGAATCTAAACCATTCTCAGATCCCCTTGAACACACACAAAAAATTTCATCAAAATCGGTCCAGTCGTTTAAGAGAAGTTCAGTGACATACACACTCACAGAAGAATTATATATATAAAGATATCAAATTATGAGATTAGGATATGACACTGCATTTGTGTATATAACAATCTTAGAGCCGTTGACATGACAATGCATGAAGAAGAAGAAGAAGACTACTCAAAAGAACATAAACAAAAGATGACTTTTTGGATAGGTGCTACTTTTATATAAAATTTACATACATTAAATATTTATGTAACGACATGATTTTAACACATTTAACTTCACACATTTTTGTGAAAATTGAGGCCCATCTGTAGCCTTAACCCCGCTGGTAGTCTCTATATGTCTTAATAAATCAATATTTTATACCACCGCAAGGTATTTAATAATTCCCGCAATATTAATTCCCTTACTGAAGTAACAAGACTACGGTATATAGGTACCGTCTTAAAATACTAACTGACTAAAAAGTGTGAAACAAAAAAGGTAAATTTAATAAATCAAAAAACCCGACTGCTTAATTATACTTCAAATAAAAACCGAAAAGAAAAAAACAAGTCCAGTAGTCTATAACTCTGTTAATAAGGAACAAAGCTACTTTAACAGTCGGGACCCATTATTGAAAAATATTATGTATTCTTGAATATCTAATGGGTCCCGACTGTCTGGGTGAATTAAGCAGTCGGGTTTTTTGATTTTTTAAATTTACCTTTTGTTATTAATGATATTATAAGTTTCACTTGCATCATGGTTTTTTATTTCAGATGCTGAAATACGAAAAATAATATGCATTACTCTTAGGAGTGTAGCTCTCCTCCTGAATGCTCATTTATTGTTTTATTCATCAAAAGATGCACAACTAATAAAAAGAACAAAAGATTTACTACATTATTTGGGCTTTGGGAGCAATATAACATCAAAAGACAAAAACATAAATTTTATGAAGCCTTTGAACATTCCAAAAGGCGTGGATTCGTGGGAAAGTATCGGTGTTCCACCATCTACTTTTGATCAGGTTTGTAATGAAATTGGTGTCGATTGTGGCATGATTATCTAAACCTAAAACTAAATTTAACTTCAGTCTTTCCTTTTTATTCTGTATAGAGAATGACAAGGATACACTGTTGTCAAGCAATTTAAGCTTGCAGCTGTAATCATTGTTATTTTTTTTATCAACGACATAAAGGCCTTTGACTGCGTACAATGGGACAAACTGTGGAACGTGCTATTCGAAATGGGAGCTCCTAAACAGCTCGCGATCGTTGCCTATTATCTAGAGTTTATACTCTTACAACCGTTCGTTAATCAGAATAGGAACTGAATACTCAAATATGTTCGAAACTAGGAAGGGACTGAGACAGGGTTGCATCTTGTCCCCTGCACTTTTTACATATATGGAGAGAACATCATTCGGAAGACTGTCACCTATAAGGAAACCCTTCTTCCAGTTAGAGAATTGGGAGAAGGGTTTCCCTAAAAATTAAAAGTGCTTACAAAATCTTTAGTATACCGACGAAACCATCCTTTTGGCAACATCTATGGATGCCATTAGTGAACTGTTCCAACCACTCGAGGCAGAAAGTAGCAACATTCCTCTAAGAGTAAACAGAGCAAAAACTAAAATGATGGTAGTTGACCAAGCCGGAAAGCAAGCAAATTGCTTTCAAATCAGCTATGAATGCAGCTGTATCCTCGAGATAAAAAGGAGAATCAGGATGGCAAAGGATGCTATGTCCCGAAATATAGATAAGTTCTTATCAATCTAATCTAATTTAAAAAAAGGCAAAGGATTATGGATTCAAGATGGGATGTTGGAGGTGAATTCTAAAAATACCGGGCGACGACAAAAAGCACCACGCCGTTGCATCAACATAGTTTCGCATAAAAACTCGTCTGTCCACTTTATGCCGGAAGCGTATTCTTTCTTACTTCGGCCACACAGTGCTCAGGCAATGAAAATTTGGAAAAACTAATAATGGTTGGAACACCAAAGGCAAAAGTTCGTACGGTCGTTCTCCGACAAGATAGACCGACCAAAATAAAAGATTCGTCCTCATCCAAATTTTTAAACAGTGGTGAGAGTAGCGCTGGATAGAAATCAGTGGAAGAAGATCGTCCGCTCCAGACGCAACTCATTTCTGAGGATCGTGGTCATCGTCATGGCTTACCACGACTCTCAGACAGACAGAGAGCGATAATCATAGTTGGTAACTGTCATTATTTCGCTCTTTATCAAATCTGGAATACATTTGTTGCGCATATTTGGTCCCATTTTAATGCCATCTGCAAAAAAGTCATCTCTGCAAAGCAGTTGGAACTAGAAATACTAAAGACAAACGATATATTTAGAATAAATTTAGGAATTTCACCCAATATGGGCAATTTTAATCGAATATATACATAAATTTATTCTTTCTTTCAATAATGTTAAAAACGGGACATACGGGACACACGTTTACCCTGTCTCGGCGGGACATTTAAAAGTATGCCTCAAATACGCGTCGTCCCGAGAAATACGGGACGTTTGGCAACGCCAGTATGGAAGGACATAGATATTATAATAATAATATTGATACTTCACTATAAATATGGACGTACTACAATGAAAGGAAGTGTAAAGAGCGGGGTTTAATCCTACTCTATAAAGATGCTGCCAGTGCCCATAAATACCGAAATGATAAAATTATAAAACACGATGTGCTTGTCGCAGTCTTTATTGAACACTTAATTATAATATTATTTACAAATCAAACGTTTTCGTTGACTTATGTACGTTTGTATTTTAATAACAATAATCAATGAACGATTTGCACGTACAGGAAGTATAAAATCGTCATTACTCACCTAAAAATCCATACAATCTTCCATCCCCTCGGATTTCATCACCTTGGTGATTTTTAATTTTTAATAAAATCTAGTTATTTTATGCCCTTTCCCAGGACTCAAATTTAATATAAAACTGGTTCAGCGGTTTAAGCGTGACAGTGGCGGACTAAGCTCGTCTGAGGCCCGGGGCGGCAAAGCTGAATGAGGCCCCCCAAATGAAATTTAAATTCCAATTAAATTATTTCGGCTAAATAAACATACATACCTACAATTTGGTACATATTGACTAGAAACGTAGGTGCATATTGACTATAAATTACGGATTATGATTTCTAGGCTAAATTTTACGAAGAATTACTTACTTTTTCCAAATACTTAAAAATGCACTAACTCAACTCTAAACTCATTTACTTTTATACCGCAACAAAAAATCAAAAACACTACATATTACACTTTTTAATGAGGTTACTTTGAACGGATTTTAAATGAGGCCAATGTTTATTTTTCGACGTAAATATAGTCAATGTTAATAAATGTAGTCGTACAAGAGTGAATTATTTGTACTTCATTCATTCAGGGATTCCTGAGGAAGTTTCGCTACAGAGACGGGAATTCCCCCAGCGTATTGGACGCATTCAGCGAAGTAAAAAGAATATTAGTACCGCTTAAAAAGTCTGGATGTCTGTAGTGTTTTGATCATGATGAAATTATGTATATAGGTACTAAGCACATTTTTAAAGTCTAGTTTAGGATTTGAACAGGAGAACGCGGAGGCATTTGGGGGCCCCCCAAGATCGGAGGCCCGGGGCGGGCCGCCCCTTCCGCCCCCCTGTTAGTCCGCCCCTGAAGCGTGATGAGCAAAGATGATAACACACAGACATCAGACAGAAACACTTTCGCATTTATAATAATTTTAGTAAGGATGAATGAAAATTCGTTATAAAGAAGTTGACAAATGTATTCGTAGTTAACTTTTTTGTATAAGTTCTTACGCGCGGTTCTGTTCTCTACGGTTCTAGGGGACTAAAGCCCACCATTCACTACACGCACCGCGAGCCGAACCCCGAGTCGTACCCATCCGTGGACAAATCCGTCATTGCCCACACACTACACGAGCGTGGAGTTGCAGTCCAGTCGCTTGTATGTGTACTTTGGTGAGCCTCGCGCGTATCGTTCTTCCCTACCCTACCATGCCACCGGTGCTTTCCAAACGCACAAAAGTCGCTTTAGTAGTCGGTGCAATACTTTTAACGGAGAATAAAAAGAAAAAGCGCGTTTGAACAAAGGAATGGCTGAAACAACGAACAAAATATACTCCTTTAAAATTGCTGCAATGCATTCAGACCTGTAAACCACCTGTTTCTCTTTAGTTTTTTCTTTAAACAGCAGGATAAATTCTTGCCAAAACTCTTTATGATCGCCGAACGACATGTTATTATACTCGTTTACTCGTTTATGATACAAACAACACAACTGCAGCAAGCCAATTATGCTCGCTAATTGTGATATCGTTTTGATGTCAATTTCATATTACGTATTATGCTCTCCGAAAACTGCGATATCAAAATGACATCAACTTATGCATATAATGATCAATTCTTTAAAATTATATCAACTTGATATCAATTTAGATGCGTATTACGTTCAACTTTTTGACTTAAAACAGTATCGCATAAACGTCAAAGATATATGGAACTGAATACGGGTTCATCAGTTTTTTTAACAATATATACCTGACAGCATTCTCAAACAGATGCTAGACGCCGCAAATAGAAGATACTCGTATCTTTTGAAAAAAAAAAGAAAAGAGTTGGAAATGACGTTCAAATTTTTAAAAACATGCATAGGCGTCCTGTCCTAGTCATGGAGTCTATTAACTTAGCTAGCTAGCTATAGTAACGTATTGGTCAGATATACGGGATTCAAATCATAAAATCTGCTATGAGTCGGAGGCGATTTTTTATATCAAGTCAGGATAGGAAGAAATGGAAAACGAAATTGTTTTTATGGAAATTCACACGCCAAACTTTTGATAGGATTTTCATAGGCAGGTATAATTATTTTTAATTTATCTCTGTTAAAACGTTATTTATTTTCTAGTGAGATTTATGTTAAAACTTCGTAACTTTTAAGATAATAAAGCAAATGTGCTAACTCAGATTTGAAAAAAAAACTAAAATTAGAAAATAAATGCCTCGTTACTTAATTTTATAGTTGTTTTTTACTATGCATTAAATTATCTATGCAGCAAATGTACATAAACAATACGTACTCACTATCATTGCATAAAATATTTTTTATATTGTAAACATACTGCATTTTACACCTTAGGTATACAGAACTGATGTTGTATATATACTACATGAGAAAATCTAGATTTTCCAACAAACATTTTTTTTATATTTTTTGAGAATATCTAGTCACCTATAAAATCGATCCAGTAAGATTTAAATTAAATTCCCGAAAATAAAAGTTGTGGTTCTCAGGAGGTTAAATACTTTTTTAGTTGTTCCAAGTTGTTCTAGTTGTTCCTAACATTGTTCCAAAGTATTATTTGAAAAAACTCAAATTTGAAACTGTCAGGCAAAAAAACCGTTTTTGAGATAGCCCCCCATGTTTGGAAATTCGTTATTTTTAAAGTTGTTCCAAGTTGTTCTAGTTGTTCCTAAATTGTTCCAAAGTATTATTTGAAAAATCTCAAATTTGAAGCTGTCAGACAAAAAAAAAACCGTTTTTCAGATAGCCCGCCAAATCAAATCGTACTAGAGACAATAAATAAATCAACAATAATTTTAAACAATGACGATTGTATCAGTACAACCGTGGGCTATATCGTTCCAATTTCATTTAATCATTTTGAATAAAATTAATAGTTATAAGACAAGAAAACATTACACTATAGGGTAAACTCCCTAATTGTTGGCACTTTAAGAGTAGTTTCCATGTCAGTCAGACATTAAATTACCATAAAATCACATCTAAATGAGTTAGTACACAACACATGTAACAGTATCAAGGAAATATAGTTCAATCTTTGTTTTCATAATAGTACAGTCAATGAAGGCAAAAATCAGCTATAAGCTCCGATTTCGATGAACCTCCATCGATTTTCATGAAAAATGGTGATGAGGTGGGGGATACCATATGAAACAAAAGTGACATAGTGCCAACTTGCGCTTTTTCCCTAGGGGTAGATACCACCCCTTCTCGGGGGTAAAAATTATTTTAATAAAAATAACTCCAGGAATCGATAGAAAGACAAATTCTAAGCAAAAGTTGTTATAATAAGTTTTCGAAATAAATCAATACTTTCTGAGTTAATAATGATCAAAGATTGTGATTATGCGTCAAAAATTCATGTTTTAAGCGGTTTTTCATAAATATCTCAAAAACTATGAGTTTAAAGAAAAATATTTTATTACTAGACGCAACGAATATTCGGTTACTATTCGGTATTCGGCTGCTTTTACCGAATACTTAAATAATATATTTTGTCATAGAGAAATAATTGGTAAAATGAAAATTAATATCGATTGATTACGTAGGTATATATTCATATTTTCATTTCTGGTATATATAATCCTCCTCCTCTTCCCCTCGGACCACCGTATGGTGTACACGTATTCAGTAATCTGTGCTAGTCGTTTTTTAAATTAAATTTGAAATTTCTAAAATTTTAATTCTTAGAAAATAATAGGAGTGCATAAAGTTAAAGGAACTTGCAATAACCATATTCTAGTGACGTCAAACACTGACTTGACCTATCAGATGCCGGCGCAGGAGGAACGATTAAGGTGAGAAAATAAAGCCACACCCCACGTATTTACTGGTGCTTCGGCTTCGCTGGCTCCGCCCTTTTGACTCCTGATTGCTTGTGCTGACTCCTCCCAAGAAGTCTTAAGCCACACCTCGCCGCTTGCGCATTCTCTGCGACAGCCAATCTGCGTCTAAGCACCACCCAAGCCGATATACGCATTGCTTGTGCTTTCTGCTCGCCTGGTACGGATTGCGCACTCTCCGTGACTGCCTTTTTGGAGTCAGGCTGTGCCGCAGACACACATTTACACACTTCATAAGCACTGCTCGCCTGGTACCGATTGCGCACTCAGTAATTTTGCAGTAGAATTCCTAAGTAGCTGTTTGCGCATTCCTCACGCTCGCTGCTCGCCTAGTACCGTGGTTCACTCAAATGATACACTCTACACTGAATAGAGCTATGTCGGACCCGGATATGTCTATCTGTGTATCGGAAGAAAATGTTTCGCCGCTGAATGCTGTTTTCGATCGCCGGCGCAGACCTGTACAGGGATCGCCGTCACAATGGGACGCTTTTAAAATGGAGATGAGGCAACTTATAACTACCTTCATAACTTCGCAGAGGGAGGAGTTGACTCAACTTAACTCAACAATGAAAGAAATACAAGACACAAATAAAAACATAGAGTTGTCTCTGACGTATGTAACTGCTCAGAACGAAGAACTAAAGCAGAAAATTAATAAACTGGAAGAATTTTCTAGGGAAGACAGGGAATGCTTGATATTTTTGGAAGATAAACTTGACGATTTACAGCTTGCGTATCGTAAGACTAATTTTGAAATCAAGGGAGTACCTAGACAAGAGTCTGAGACAAAACAAGATTTAATTGAAATGGTAGTTACGCTGTCGGAGTCTGTAAACTGCAAAATCAGTAAATCAGATATTAAGGACATTTATAGAGTTAGGGGTAAAAAGCCGGAGCAGAAAAATACTCCGATTGTAGTGGAAACTGGTTCGGTCTTGTTGAAAACCGATCTCCTGAAAATGGCTAAAACCTTCAATATAAGGAATAAAACCAAATTATGTGCAAAGCATTTAGGGCTGAAGACGCAAGAAGATACACCGATTTTTGTCTCAGAGAATTTAACGCCAAAAACTTCACGCCTTCACTTCTTGGCTCGTGACTTGGCCAAGTCCAAAGGATACAAATTTGTGTGGACTTCCTATGGTAAAATTTATATAAGAAGAAGTGAGCAGTCGCCGATCATTATGATAAAAACTGAACAACAGGTACACAAGCTACTTTTGCAACAAGACTGACTATATTCAGTACTAGACGTAACATATGTTGAGTTAAGCCCGTGCTCTGGAGATAACTTATTTATAGTTTATAAGCTTAACTCATGCCACAAACCTAGAATTAAGAAAGGTAACACCGTAAATTATACAATTACACTATACAATACTACTGCTACAAAAAAAACATACCAAACACATCATTCACTTTCACACACACGCGCACAAACAATCATATATATTATAAAACACCTACTACACCTAGAATATACTTTTGCTTTAAAAAACACTCGTCAAACAATCCTTACAATTATATTTTATTCTCTATTATACATTCTCACACTCATTTTATTATTATATGCATTCAAACAAAAAATAATATTTATCAATAATCAAATTATTGATACACATTATCTAACTATACATAATGACTACACCAGTATATATACCTATCTATTAATAAATGGATGACTTAGTATACTTAAACGAATTAGACAACATTGAAATAGCTAATGCAGTTGAATGCGACGGAACCGACCTTGAGAGGTTTATAAATGTCAATAAAAATGATTTCACATTAATATCACAAAATATCGTTAGTATCTATCGAAATTTCGACGACTTCATTGTTCTACTAGCTTCTTTATCATTTGAAATAGATATGATTACCTTTACGGAATGCAGGTTAAACCCAAATAAACCTCTGCCACAGTTAAATAATTACGATTCATACAGTACCACCAGTCAACTTAACCAAAGTGACGGTGTAGCTGTATATATTAAAAAATCCATAAAACATAATGTCAAAGAAATAAAACTGCAGCACGCGTCATGCCTGCAAGTTGAAATATTTAATCACATTATTCTGTCTATTTACCGGTCACCGTCGAACTCAAATGCAGAAACCTTCATTAACTCATTAAGCTCTCATCTTGAGAGTCTCCCTTCGAATAGTAACATCATAGTGACAGGAGATATTAATATAAACATTCTAAAAAAAAAAATTGGAATCATCGCACGAACATAAAAATAGGTCGCAGTACTTAAATATGCTTGCTAACTACGGCATATTAGCTGGACATACTTTACCTACAAGACTGCATAACTGTCTAGATCATTTTATGCTAAAAATAAACAGAATCAAATACAAAGCATCGATAGCTATTATGCATAACTACTACTGTTACGGATCATTTTACTACATTTCTATCAATTTCGAAATTAAAAAATCAACCAAATGTCAATAAAACTAAAACCACCATTAACTTTGAAAGTGCATTACAATATCTACAGAATAAAAATTTAACTGATTTATTGTTCTGTGATGACCCAACTGCTGTGACTAACTACTTAATAGATAAAATGATCGAAAGTCTAAAATTAAACACTGTGGTGACTCCTGTGTCGTGTAGTAGGAGAATTATGCAGCCGTGGATCTCCGCAGGAATCTTACGTTGTATAAGGAACCGAAATAAACTCCAAAAAAATCTTCGAAATGACCCGCACAACGAGATTCTTCGTATTACATATCGACGATACAGGAATTACTGCAATAACTTAATAAAAAGAATTAAGAGAAAATATGATAGAGACAATATTGTTAAATCTCTAAATAACAATAAACTACTATGGAAAAATATTAAAAACATCACATATTCTAAAAAATCACATAATATTAACTCTACACTAGTCAACTTAAAGTCTTCGCCTAATAACTCTGCTAACTTTATTAATAAATATTTCGTGAACATAGGAACACAACTTGCAAAAAAAATTCAACACAACAAAAATACACGGAGAACTCTTTTAGGAAGCAAACCAGCGCCATCAAACTCTTTTGTTTTACTTCATACGGATGAGGATGAAGTTAAGAATATTATTATTAACTTAAAATCAAATAGCGCCCCAGGTTGGGATAATATCCCAAACCAGTTTTTGAAATTGGCAGTTGATGATGTGGCCCCTATTATCACTCACATAGTTAATTTAAGTTTTGATAAAGGCATATTTCCCATACCGCTAAAGAGATCAATTATTACTCCTGTGTACAAGGGTGGGAATGGAGAAGACATCAGTAACTATAGGCCGATTTCGGTTCTGCCAGCAATATTTAAAATTTTAGAGAAGTTATTAAATACTAGATTACTAAAATACCTCAATAAAACTGTAGTAATCACCTGCGCAGTTTGGTTTCAGACAAGGAAAATCGACAGAAGATGCTATTGCTGAACTAAGTTCTTTTGTAACTCGGCAACTGGACCAAAATAAAAAATGTTTGGCCGTTTTCCTTGACCTGAGAAAAGCATTTGATACCGTCTCCATCCCTATCCTTGTACACAAGCTGGAACATATAGGAATAAGAGGGACCCCACTTGCTCTCTTTAAAAGTTATCTGACAGAGAGAAAACAAAAAGTAAAACTTGCTGGGTGCAATAGTGAGGATGCTGGGGTGACGTGTGGCGTACCACAGGGTAGCGTTTTGGGGCCCACCCTATTTCTCATCTACATTAACGACCTTTGTAGCATGAATATAGCAAATGCCAAAATCCTGTCGTATGCCGATGACACCGCCGTCATCTTTGCTGGAGAATCGTGGGATGCAGTCAGGACGGATGCTGAATTTGGTCTGGCGCAGGTTGCTATGTGGTTGCAACAAAACCTCCTTTCATTAAATACTGCCAAAACAAATTATATTTGTTTCAGCATTTACAATAATTCGCAGCCGCGTAGTGACTTTAGCCTGAAAATTCATGAATGCCTGGAGAATGAGAATCAAAACTTTTGTAACTGTCCGAAAATTGAAAAAGTTTCACAAGCAAAATATTTAGGTGTCATTGTGGACCAAAGACTATCATGGTACCCACATCTAAACCATGTTAGTATTAGAATTAGGAAACTTATCTGGATTTTCAAAACCCTCAGGCACGTTATGCCAGCCGTCACTGAAGAAAAGGCCACTTCTAAAAATCTCCTTAATCAAATATACATAGCCCTGGCCCAACCCATTATCACTTACTGTATTCCAGTTTGGGGTGGCGCTGCGAAGAGCCAGTTTCTTGATTTAGAAAGAGCACAAAGAACCCTTATAAAGGTCATGTACTTCAAGAAGCGACGTTTCCCTACTAATGATTTGTACCGAATTAGTGACCTACTCTCTGTGAGGAAATTATATATAATCACGACCATTCTCAAAATTCACAAATCCATACCCTATGACCCTCATCTCTTGGAAAAAAGGCGAAAAGACATAATCGTCAAGTCGACTGTCACTAAAACTGCATTTGCTAGTAGGCAATTTAACTCGCGTTCGGCCATCTTATATAATAAAATAAATAAAGAAATAAACATATATGACAAAAATCATCATGAGTGTAAGAGCCTTTTAATTAAATGGATTCAGCCTCGAACGTATGAAGAAACTGAATCTCTATTGCATCGTATTTTATAAATGACATGAAACAATGTATAAAATTAATTACACACACACATACACACATAAAGACACAAACACACACGCACATGGCACACAACATCTGCATTAATTTCTTAATTGCAAATACTTTTGCTTAGCTTTAAGTCCTTTTAATGTGATTTAAAATTATTTTCAGCGTAGATCGTCCGTTTATTGTTTTGTTTTATTTTATTTCTTATTGTTTTTTGCATGTTAATTTTTTCATTTACTGTAACCATACTGGAGTTGTATGTGATTTACACATTATTAGTTAAGGAAGAGCGGAGCCTCCAAACACAGGCAATATTTGCTTAAATGGAGACTCCAATCGATATATTATTAAGAAGGCTATTGTAAAGGAAAATAAATTATTATTATTATTATTCTCTCATTTATTTAATTTCACAAGTTAGGTTTTTTATAAAATAGATATAAAAGTAAAATACAAACACGTAAATACAAAAATAAATATAGTATAAAAAACCTAACCTAGAAGGCCACCAGCAGCGTAGCGAGGCCCAAGCTACCGGTGGTTAGGGCCGCAGAGAAAGAAACCGTCTGACGATGCGCGCCGTGTCCAGGAGTACTGCCTTTTGCATCTGCCTCTTGACCCAACTCTCCTTCTCGGCCTTCACGAGGTTCTTGTCATGCGGGATGGTGATATCGATGAGCACTGCCTGGCGTTTCAATCGATCTGTCAATACGATATCAGGCCTATTGGCAATAATAGTCCTGTCCGTAATGACAGGTCGATCCCAATAGAGCGTTGCATGACCATTTTCAAGAACTGGCGCCGGTGTGTACTTATAGTACGGCACCTCGGATTCTACAAGGTTGTATTGAACAGCAAGTTGCTGGTGAATAATTCTGGCTACGAGATTATGTCTGTGCAAATACTCACCGTTAGCCAGATGAGAACAACCAGAGACGATATGTCTGAGGGATTCACCAGGCCGACGACATGCTCTACAAATGTCGGCCGTTCCGTCCCTCAGGATATATCTCCGATAGTTGTTCGTCATCATGACTTCGTCAGCAATTGCACAGATAAACCCTTCGGTTTCCCCAAAGAGATCACCGAATCGTAGCCAGTTCACGGAGGCGAGCTGGTCCACATCAGGCCCTGTTAGGGCCCGATAGAACCGTCCGTGGAGCTCCTTGCTTTTCCATACTTCCTTGCGATCCTGGGTGCTTAGCACCCTCGGCTTGCGCCAGTTCTCTTTCGCCAAGGAGAGCGGCGTTAGGTTTTTGTCAACTGCTACAATGTCACGATGCAACCCACCCTCACTGTTAAGGAAGTAATCCCTGAGACTGCACACCTCTCGGTTGTGGAGATTCTTGGCATTTAATAAGCCACGACCTCCACACTTACGTGGGATATACTCATAACAGATGAGCGCGGGTGAAGCATACGATGCATTGTGAGCAGTTGACGAACCTTCCTATCCAGAGTGTCTAACTCAGTCTGAGTCCATCTCAGTATGCTAAAGGAGTATGTGAATAGGGGCATCACCCAGGCATAAAAGGCGCTCACCTTATTGGC